CTACAAGGCGCGCTGTGACCGGCTGACCGCGAGCGGCCCCGGCTCCGGGGACCACGCCCCCCTCTTCCTCTGAGCCCCTCCGTGCGCCGGGTGCCGTAGTAGGTGGGGGTTGAGTGGCTGAGGGGCACCGTCCAGGAGGCAGCTGGATCGTTACCAGAGCGCCGTCTGGTCCCAACCACTCCCTGTGTGACCACACAAGTATCCCCGAACTTCTTGGACCCTCGAGGCACGCCCGAGTTTAGGTGCTAGTCTTTTTCTGGGGAGGGGTCCCCTTTCCTTACGCAGGCCGTGCCCAGAAACCCGGTCCACGTGACTAGCCCACTGAGCTCTTTCCGGGCCAGTGCCGGACGCTGGGGGGTGGAAGTGTGGTGACACAGTGAATGGGAGGTGGGGGAGTGTTGCAGCTTCCACCTCAGTTTAGCTTTTAATACAAGGTTTAAACCTGTAGTGCATTAAAGCTGTCATTAACCATGAGACTGGTTTCATTCTGAGGCTAGTAGCATCTCCATTTCAGGACTACTGCATTGTCAAGATTTTAATACCCAACAGTTAAAGAGGCTAGAAACTCTGTCTAAGATGCTGTTCCCCAGCCCAGTCCAGTGGTCTTCAGGACTCAGAGCGGCAAAGGCCTAAGCAGTGAGTTCTGGGGGTGATTGGTGTGGGCTGGGAGAGAGCCCTGGGTTCTCTCCTCCTGGTCAGGAGTCTGGAGACCTGGGCACTCATCCCAGCTCTTTCATGTGATCCCTCTTTCACCTTGAGCAAATCGATTGCTTCCTGGGCCTCGGTTACTTCATCTAATCTTCATTTGGACTGAATGACTTCTGACACCCTTCCAGTTCTGGCACCTCCCCAGTGTGGGAGTCCTCATGGTCTCCCCAAGAAGTCCCCAAGACAACCTCACCAAAGGGAACTCCTGTTCTGCTCTGGCTTCCTGGCTGCAGCCTGGGCTGTGGGTGAGCAGCCCAGGTGAGGCAACTCAGCTTCTCTGTGAGCACATGTACTGGTCTTGGCAGCTTCCTCCAGACAGTCGCAGCCTCCAGACCTGCATAGGGTGCCCTTGCCACCTCCTGCCTCTCTGAGGCTTGGGTGTGAGACTCCTCCTGGGATGGCCAAGAGCTGAGAGAGTACAGCTTTTGTGAATTAAGCTCGAAATTCCGGCAGAACTCTAATGCTATTGGCTAAATGTTCTCGCTATTTAAGAAGTGTTCTTTCTTTATTCCTGCTTCAGGCAACTGTTTTGTGTGTCTGTGGAGAGGGAGGGGGGGAGCATGGAAACCGGGAAGGCCCCGCCTGAAGCTGAGCGGCCCATCTCGGTTCTGGAGAGCCAATGAAAATGGGGTGGAGAGGTGGGCATTGGGCCAGATGGATCCTACCCCTCCCACCACCACTACAGAGCCCAGAAGCAGCAGTGGCCCACCTAGGCCTGCCTGTGGCTAGCCAGGTCTCACAGTTGCCATAGTAACCAGCCTTCCAGTTTAGCAGCCTAGGGGAGGGCAGGTGGGGCCTCTGGCCACAGCACGGGCGTTGCTGGGAGTAGCCACCTCATCAGTTACTGTCGTCTGTCCTCTAAGGGACATAATAAATGGGAGAAGCAAGTCAGGCATGGGGGAAGAGGCTCCCATATGTCTCTCTTCCTTTCTACCCCCTCCATCCACCCCCTCCCAGCTGGCTTTTCTCTTTTCATCACATCGCTTTTTCCCTCCTCCCCCTCCTCTAGCTCAGCTCATCCCTCCTCCACTCAGGAGCCGGCAGTGGGAGCCCTTTCCTCCATTTCCCCGGGAATTTCTCTCTCTCCTTCGTTTCCACGCTGCTGGCCATCCTGTCTGGCTTTGGACCCTCTCTCCGAGGGGCTCATGTACCTTTTAGCTTCTCCTTCATTCCCTTTCACACTCACTGTTGAAGGGAGGGGCTGGTGCAGGGGGGGCCCCTCCAGGAGCTCAGCTTTTCCCTTCACTCTGAATTCCACCTGTGTCTGTCCTTACCTGTTCTCTGGGACTGTATTAAGACCCACTACTGCCAGGCACAGTGGCTCACGCCTGTACCAGCACTTTGGAAGGCACAGGTGAGAAGATTGCCTGAGTCCAGTGGTTCGAGACCAGCCTGGGTAACTTGGCGAGACCTTGTCTCTACAACAAATCAAAAAATTAGCTGGGTATGGTGGTGCATGCCTGTGCTTCCAGCTACTTGGAAGGCTGAGGTGGAAGGATCACCTGAGCCCAGCAGGTTGAGGCTGCGGTGGCCATGAGTGTATCAGTGCACTCCGGCCTGGGCAACAAAGCAAGACTCCAACTCAAAAAACAAAAACAAAAACAAAAAAACCCACTACTTTTCTAGCTTAGCTTTTTTACCTGCATGGCACACAAGGGCAGAGATGTCCAGCCACAGATACCTGGGCACACAACTAGGCCACATATCATTACACACACCTGGGTCTCAAAATGATACACCTGGTTCACATAAATATGCCTCAGAAAAAAGTTGGGCACGGTAGTAATAAGAGTGTGGTACTTTAACCAGAAGGGTCTGGGCTTAAGTTCTAGTTCTATCAGATTTTGACCATGAGTGAGTTAAAATCGAGTCTCACTTGCTTTGCCAGAAGAATGGGGGGAAATAATGGTAATTACTGAGTGAGAATGAATGCATTTAAAGAAGCACTTAGCACAAAGTTTGACACATGCTAAATAATTTTGCTGTTCTTGCCGATGTTATTATGAAGCGTACACAGCTGGACTTCTTGACCCTTTAAGGCCACACTCAGAGAGTCAGGGATGTGCAGTGCATGAAAACACACATTCACACACTCAGGAAACCAGGCTGGGCACGCTTTACATTCCCCTCTGTGTTCCCAATTCACTACCAGACCTGCTGCCCTCCTTCACTCCCCGCTAAACCTCTTCTTGGCCTGTCCCACAGCTGTGTGGGGGCTGAGGTTCAGCCCCTGGAGGACTCAGCAGGATCTCTCTGGAGACAGCTGTAAGAGCATCAGCCTGCCCCCTTGACAGCCCCTCATTATCCCCGTCTTCCGTAATTAATCCCATGGTGCCCAGACCCCCTGTGGTTGGAAGGTGGGGGCGTGCTCCTCAGACCCCACTGGCACATGGTTGGGGTAAGACTGCAGAGACAGCAGCCTGCCTGGGAGCTCTGGCTCAGATTCTGAATGGTGCTGGTCCTCATTTCCTATGGTGTGTGTGTAGGTGCTGCCCGGTGGGCATCTGAGGCATCATGGGTAGAGGCTAAGGTGCTAGGAGCAGTTCTCTTTATTAATGGCCACAAAGTCAGCATCACAAAGGAAGTCACTGAGGGGCCACAGGGTTGAGAGGTATGGGGCTTGGAGAGATGGAGACAGGGCCCACCACTCACTTCCAGGACCCAGAGGGCACAGCTGGTCCAGAGGCGGAGGCGTTGGTCACTGGAGTTACAAGGATCAGGACAGGCACCTAGGAGAGGGTAGGAGAGTCATAGGTACCCTCTTCTATACTGCACCCAGACAAGATGGATGCATGCCACTTTGCACCCCCTGTGTCCAGGGCCCCCAGGACTCACTGAGAGGCTGAAGGAGTGTTGGTCCGGAGGGTGGCAGTCATGGGCTAGGGCTGGGGGTCGTGGCCGGAGTGCAGGACCTGGGAGCCCCAGGGCTGATGCCCTGGCTAGCATAGTACTCCACCACCTGCCGAGGTACCTCAGCCAGGACACACTTAGCAAGTGCAGAGGGAGCGGCCTGGGGGTGGAGGCAGCAACACGGTTAGGGGCAGTAGGGAGACTGGGGAAGGCAGAGTCAGGTAAGGAAGGGGTGGGGCTTCGGAGTGGCCAGCTGGGCTCCAGCTCTTTCACAGGACATCAAGACAGGTCAGACTGTTGGGGGCATGAGGAGCTGCAAAGTCCCTCAACCTGGAGGGGGCACCGGGCACTCACATCCTTGAAGTCTCGGAAGGGCACGAATTGCACGATATCTCGGGCCGCAGGCACCCCTCGGGGGCAGCGCAAGGGACCGTCATCGCCGTCCAGCAGTCGCATGTCGGAGAAGTCAGCATTGCCTACGCCCACGATGATGATGGACATGGGCAGGTGGGAGGCGTGCACAATGGCAGTGCGGGTCTCCGCCATGTCACTCACCACGCCGTCCGTGAGCACCAGCAGCACCGAGTACTTCTGAGGGCAAGCAGCAGGGGGAAGGGTCAGCTCTACCTGCAAGGGCATTGATTTCCACTCCAGGCCCACATCTGGCACCACTGAAGGACACATGGGGCAGCTCCTGGCTGCCTGCTGTGTCTCCTCACCGTGGCTTGGCCAGTGCTTTGCTCCCGCTGAGCTGGCCCGGCCACGCGGTTGATGATGGGGGCCACATTGGTGGGGCCGTAGAGCTGGATCTGGGGCAGGCAGCGACGGTAGGAGGTGATGACGCCCGAGATCTCTGTGGGCAAAGAGAAGAGGTGAAGCTGGCAGAGATGAGCAGGGAGCCCCTCCTGATACTTCTTAAAGCAAGGAAGTGCCTCTAACTCTTAGGTCTGCCTCTCTCACCAAGTTCCTCACTAAGCAGAGGGAGAGGTGGATGGTTCCCTGACTGGGAGAGTTGGGTGGGCAGATGCTGGGCTATGGGGCTGACTGGAAGTCTTTT